CACTTGTTGGGATGAGTGCTGGGTGTTATGCACAGGGGATAAGTCACTGGCATCTACTCCTGAGATCATTATTGCACAATATGCCAACCAATTTGGATGTAAATTTAAAAAGAAAAAAAGAAAAGAAAAAATATATAAAATGGCCACATCCCAAAAGGCTAATAATAATATTCCAGTAAGTTACAAATTTAGATAATGTACTAAAGCTTCATATATTTTGCTAGAAATTTCATTAGCGTGAGGCAAGACTCAGGGTAGGGAAACTTGGGTTCTTGTCAGTGTAGTGATATGACAGACGGAGTCTAGAGGAGAGCGACTTTCCGAGTTCCGATCCTGGCTTGTCACTTATTACTCATGTGCTTTGGACAAGTTATGTGACATCTCGGTGATTTATGTGCCCTGTCAGAAAAATGAAATGGTATAATAATAGAATCTACCTCAATAGGGTGTTATAAAGATTCAGCAAGTTAATCCATGTAAAGAATTTAGAACGGTGCCTGGCACATTGTCTGGCAGTCAATGTTAAGTTATCTGCACTTTAAAGTAAAGGCTTAACCTCTATTAAGGTCAACAATCCATTTTATCCCTCCAATCTACTGCATTCTTCCTGTAGGGGTCTATCTCCCATGACATCTTTCTTTCACATATATATACTAATTCTGGTTAGGAATACTGGTAAAATTGTACTGTATGCTTCGTAAAATATTGCAGTAAATTCTGACTTACCTTAACAATGGAGAGTATTTGGTATTTATTAAAAGTTTCATTATCCTGTTTTGTGATTTTATCAATGTGGATTTTACTTTAATACAAAGTAAGTGTTCAATAAATATTGTTCAAATAAACCTATTTAGACTATCTTCTACCTTTACACCTATAGGTTAGAGAGAGAAAAATGAAAATCAAATTTGTTTACTAAATATCTGCATAGGCACTATAGTAATCTGTTCTTTTTAAGCTCTCACAAAAATGATGCTGGTCGAGGCAACCAACCCAAGGGTATTTTCTCCCCTTTTCTATTACTGGCCCATATGATTAACTCCTAGTTTGGTTCTTTAGTTGGGGTGATGTTTTTTCTTTATGCTCTCTATACTTCAAAAAATTAAATAAAGCAGTTAAAGACACATATACAAGAAGGCTGACAAAAATGAGAAGGATTACATGAAAATCTGAGTTTTTACAGTTAAACATAGTCCTGGAGCTTCTTAACGAGCAAAGCAGAAACAAAAAGCATACTGTAATTCCTATTGCCTGAGTCATATCTGAACAGAAAGAATTTTCAAGGTAATAAATTCAAAGAGATATTTATCTGATGTTTCTTTGACCTAAGAATATGGATCAGCATAATAAGGGCTGTCTTCAACAATGTTTTTATGGAGAATACAGAAAATTATTAATGATAACAGTTTATGTTTAATATGTACTATATTCACTATATACTTAAATAAGTTTCTACAAATACCATGAATATAATTATAAAACTTTTAGCAGAGCTGAGACTAGAATATTAATTTTCTTTTTTTTTTTTTAATGTTTTATTTATTTCTGAGATAGAGAGAGACAGCGTGAGCAGGACAGGGTCAGAGAGAGAAGGAGATACAGAATTGGAAGCAGTCCCCAGGCTCTGAGCTAGCCGTCAGCACAGAGCCCAACGTGGGGCTCGAACCCACGAACAGTGTGATCATGACCTGAGCTGAAGTTGGACGCTTAACCAACTGAGCCACCCAGGTGCCCCTAGAATATTAATTTTCTAATACCTAGTTCAGAAAATGTTCTGTTTTTTCCACTACATTATCCTATGCCTACCATATATGGAAGAGAATTTGACCTTGGAATACACATGTATACAAATATATGTATAAAGCTTCCATAATACACATGTGACATTCACACACACACACACACACCTTGGCCAGTACCAACAATCCTACTGAAATAAAAGATGAGTAAATAAATGAGTAAATAATTTACTTCCAGTAAATAAAAGTGATTCCATTAATTAAATTCGCACAGCACCTGTCAAGCTGATGATTTTCTACATTTTGTGTTGGTTATCCTTGTATATTTCCAATGGCCCATCAGGTCATGATATTTTTGTTTTATGATCTCTCTTCCAATCATATGCATCACTCAGTGCTCAGAATACAAAAATAAAATAAAATTGAGCCTACAGTAATAACAAATCTGAGATTTCAATTTAACACCAGACATCAAAAGTCTATATCAATACAAACTCCCAGTTAGAAAATAAATGTCAGGGGGATATAATGTATAGTATGGTGACTATAATTAATAATACAGTATTATATATTTGCTAACAGAACAAACCTTAACAGATTTTTTTCATCACATGAAAACAAATTTTTTTAACTATGTAAGGTGATGGACATTAACTAGACCTATTGTGGTGACCATTTTGCAATATAAATATCAAATCATTATCTTGTATCAATCATTGTAGAAATATCAATCATTATGCTGTATACCTGAAACTAATATGTTGTTTATATATTATGCCTCAATAAAAAAGTCTGTATCAATACACCAAAAAATAGAATTTATTCCTTTTCTCCTTTTACAAATGGACTCAGCTCTAAATGCTAATAATTTTACTAGGTACTTGAACACATGAGGCATGGATGAAAACCTGCAGGCCTCTGGGTATAATAATACCAGTAGCTTCCAGCCCATCAGAAAGAACACCAACAAATATACCAGATATACCAATAAATTGGCACACTTTAGATGACCAGAAAATTGAAAACCTGGGGTTCTTTTGCTCTTTTAATTAACTAATAAACCTGAATGAATATACTCATAGGCTAGATTGCCTTATGTATATTTTAGATTAAAAAATACATTAATTTGGTTGTAGCAAGTTAGTATCTTACTGCAAATCAACTATTGAAAATGTATAGAAATAGAGGATTATGACCCAGTGATTCTTTCAGCAATTCCCCAAATTGTGAGCTGCATGATACTCCCTTTCCTAACTTTGGGCCAGACAAAAAGGTTAAATTAGTGGTTCTTAAAATATGGTCTCCAGAGCAGCAGCCACAGCATCACCTGCTGTGAACCTGTAAGAAATGCAAATAATTGGATTCCACCAAGACCTCCAGAATCAGGCTCCTGAGAGTGCGGCTAGGGGGCATGTTTTGATGCATTCTCTAAGTGACTCTGATGATCGGAATAAATGGCTCCTCAAAATTTTTTTCTTTGCTCCCTTAATTCACTCATAACTTATAACCTCCCTCTTAAGTACCGGCTCCTGCTGGTGATCATAAATCTACTCCTTGGAAACTCCACTCAAGCGCGACTTGTAGTGAGGATGCTCAGTCAATCACACTCGGTAATGCCTCAACAGAGAAACATCTGCGGGTTCTCCTCCCTTCCCCAATCCTAACCACTGGTTCCTCAGCGCTCGCTGCTGTGCACAGTAAGGATGTGTGGCTTTCAGAGGATCCATCTAACTAGCATTCAAGACCGCATGACTCATTGGCCACAGGTATTCTCCACAAACCACCTGCCTGTGTGTGCCCATGACCCTCATGTTGCCTGTGTCGCATTGCATCTGCCAACTTGTCACATGAACCTGCTGCTCCACCGAGCCCCTGGTGGATGTTCAGGGACTCACTTGATCCAGGAGGGTAGCCTGTAGCACTACATGATCTTGGGTCCACTTCCGTAGTGGACACCTGTCTCACAGGGAAGTCTGGGGCTGAAAGGGTGAATGGCAACTCCTTAGGAGGAGCAGGTTCTGTACCCCAAAGGGTAAGCAAGAGATAGCCCAAACCCAACACTTCTAGATGCATCAAATAAAGAACTAAAGAGGAGCTTTGTTTTTAACATTCACTTCCACTGGAGGGAAAGGGGACAGGATATCTTCAAAACTGTCTCGTGTTGTTCTCAGTACCCAGCACTAACTTCCACTTGGCTGGTTCTTTCTTGGTGTCTAGAAGTCACAGTACTATTCTTGGGCATGTCCGAAGAGAATGAACTAGGTAAAACAGAAACCTTACTGTAATATGCATTTTGTTCATTGTAATATGGAGATGTGTAAATGTAAATCGTTGATTAAATGCCAACAAATTTAGGGAAATTTACATCTCATAATAAGAAAACTCTACTTGTAAAACGTCACTAATTTTAGGAGAAAATATCAGTGTATTATTTCTCCCATATTTCACAATATTTAACAATTCTTTCATTCTACCCTTTTGTATTAGTAAAACACTCCGTTGAGAAGCCCACTTGACTCTTCATTCGCTGCTACACTGGTTTAAGAGTGAGAGGATATAGCCGTACCTCTTCTAGAGCTTTCACACTCAAAAATGGAGTGAATGGCTTATTATGAAGTTTCCAAAAATGCTCTTAAAAAGCTTTGCTGGATGAAGCTCTTCCCAATATCATCCCTCCAAGAATGACTCCACCACTCTGAAAATGATCTGGCACGTGACGCTGCCATGGAAAAGCTGAAGGGGAGAGGGAGTCCAGAAGGTCCAGAACTGAGGAAGGCTCCCCCACCTAATTCATACCAACTGTAATCTGCTGCCTTCTCTACAGCCAGAAAAATAGTTTGTGGCACTCCATCTCAGACTCTAGAACCCCAGAGAAACTCCCTTGCGGTCTCATTCCCCGGTGAGAAGAGTCCTGAGCTAACACGACTGTCATTTTGAATTAGTGTCGACACAGAGCATCACGGCCAGCTTCTTCTCCACCTTTTATTAAAACAGGTTAAAGGGAGACGAAGGGGCTAATATCACAATATTTTTTTAAAACCTTTGCAGAAATAGCAAGGCTAATTCCCAACTACTCAATAAATAGACTTTAATTCTTAAATAAGAGAAAAGCTCATCTCAGAACAGGCTGTCATTTCACTAAACATGAAAAATCACTGGCATCAGTACTATGTGCTTTATGTGTTTTATTCCTCTCTCCTAGAAAGAATTTTATCTTATTTCTCTCTCCGACAAATCTCTCACAGGGAGTTGGCTGTTTACCTCCTTCAGATCCTGCACGACGGCCGTGAGCCTCTCATTTTCTGCCTGAACGTTAGTGACCACAGCCCGGCTCTGTTTCAGCTCGTTCTGCATCTCCAAGATCTTCCCCAGATAGTAAGCTTCCTTCGAGGCAGACTCTTGCAGAAGCGTTTCCTCCCGAGTCTCTCCATCCTCAGCAACCTTCCGGTGGATGGAGAAGGACTGCCCAAATGCCTGCAGAGTATTTGAAAAGAAAAAGAGTGCCTGATGAAATGCACCATAGCACTATTTAAACCAACTCTGGGAAATGTTTGGTTTTGTTTAGTATTTTAAGAGAAGCTACTCTACAAGACTTCCAGGAGCAAAACAACACATTTTATGCAACAGTCTAATGGCTCTCACTGATACTTGAAATAATTCAAATTCAATTAATAAGGGGAAAGAAAATTTGTATATATCCTGCTAATATATATATATATAATGAGTTAAAGAAAACCGGAAAAACACTGCTTGTTTTATGTTACAATTTTCTTAAACCAAGCCTATTAAGGAACAGACAGTTCAGTGTTAATGAGGCCAATAAAATTCATGTTCTCACTCTCATTCTAGAAACGATCCCAAAATCATCTTTCAAGGAAGAATATAATAGTTTCATTAGCTTTCTAATACATGAGCCGTAAGAATACACCAATTAGGAACAGCACCCTGAAGAGCGGAAATCCGCAAATGGCATTCAAATTGCCCAGTATTAAAAAAAATCAGTCACTGTGTAAGAAAACATATGTGTATCTACATATACGTGCAAAAAGAAATACAGAGTAAACCAGGAACTAATGATATTGGTAAGCCACAGGGGGTGAGTGGGAATGGCAGGAAGGAAATACAAGAGATGAGGGACCCTTTCCTGAGCATGCCTTTTCATACAGCCCTGACTCTCAGAACTACAGTAATAACGTTTCACATACCTTCTAAATAATAACTAAAACCAACCTTGGTGTGTAAGGGGGCCTTGTGTGGAACACAAACAGTAACAAATGTTCCTAGGTGTACTACAAATGAATGACTTAACCACACCGAGAGGAGTGGAGAAGAAAAGATCTAACCTGAGTAATTTTGGAAATCAGTATATTTTCTATGTACTGTAAAGCTAAAGACAAAAAGAACTGTACCTAACTACTATAGTCAAGGTAGTAAATTCTCATAGGATTAAAGGATCACAATTCTAAAGATTTCTTTATATGTATACTAGGGTTGAGCAGATAAGTAACTATTTTATCAATAATGAAAGCTAGGTTTCTCACTGTTGGAGAAAGTTACAAACAAGGAAAGGGAGACTTCTGAAAGGAAACTGGTTGTAATTAAAAGTATCAGGATGAACTTAGTCTTTAATAGGTAGATAAATATTCATAGATAGACAGATGGAGAGAAACATAATTTATGCATGTGCGCGCGCGCACACACACACACACACACACACACACACACACACTTCCTACCTCTGCCCTCTGAGAGGCGCAGGAGGAAGGACATCTCAGTAGCCATGAACATACCTGCACCCAAATTTTGTTTCTACATATCAATATCCAATTAAAAGAATTAGGGCTCAGGGGGTGCCTGGGTGGCTCAGTCAGTTAAGTATCCGACTTCAGTTCAGGTTATGATCTCATGATCTGTGAGTTTGAGCCCTGCATTGGGCTCTGTGCTAACAGCTGAGAGCCTGGAGCCTGCTTAGGATTCTGTCTCCCTCTCTCTCTGCCCCTCCCCCACTCATTCTCTGTCCCTCAAAAATAAATAAATGTTAAAAATTGAAAAAAAAAAAAAGAATTAGAGCTGGGGACACTCGAGTGGCTCAGTCAAACTGAGCATCCAACCTAACGTCAGGGCATGATCTCACAGTTTATGAGTTCGAGCCCCGCATTGGGCTTGTTGCTGTCAGCTTAGAGCCTGCTTTGGATTCTCTGTACCCTCCTCTCTCTGCCCTTCCCCTGCTCATGTGCTCTCTCTCAAAAATGAATAAACATTAAAATAAATAAAAGAACTAGGGCTCTTTGGAGAAATAACCAATTCTTGAACTAGAGCAAAATGAATTTCATACATCTTGTGGTGCCAAAGAGTAAGTAACAAAACGCTTTCAAAAAAATGATAGGGACCTGTCAAAGGACACAAGAGCCTTCAGAAAGGGCTCCCATTGGCCAAATCTGGGATAATCTGGCCAATAAAATAAGTAATTATAATAATGAATCATAACCCATAGAATAATACAGTCGAGTCCACATTGATAAAATAACTGAATAAATGAGGGAAGAAGGGATAGCTCTTCCTTACAGTAGAATTCTAATTAAAAGGTGTAGTAGGAATGGAGGAGATAAAATATAATATCATTTGGCAACACCAATTTTTGCAGGTAAAAATTATCAATGGAATATAAAATATGCCAAAAGTATGATGAGAAACAGGATATTTGCATAAAATATCTCCTCCCATGATAGTTATTAATTCCAGTCAGAAAAAATAAGAAGCTTGCAGTGGAGAATCCTGATCACCTTATGTGACCAGAAGTTAATCAGCAGCAATGAGACAATAGGACATCATGTACTCTCTAGTATAATAGAGTAAGAGGGGACAGCATCTCTTCTGTGGTATTCTTGCCAAAAACATATAAGCCAATTCTTATCATAAGAATACATCAAACAAACCCAAACTGGAGGATATTCTACAAAATTACTGGTCAGGACTCTTGAAAAGTATTAAGTCCCAGAAAAATAAAGAAAGACACCTCTAGACTAGATGAGAGTAAGAAAACATGGTAATAAAATGCAATGTGGGATCTTGGATTGGATGCTAAACCTGAAAAAAGACATTAGGAGGACAACTGACAAAAATAGAATAAATTCTTTATATTGTTTTATAATATTGTATCAACACAAATTTCTGGTTTCCATAATTTTCTCATGGTTTTGTAAGATGTTAACATTTGGGGAAGCCATATAAAGAGTACATGAAATTCAGTGTAGTAATTTTGGAGCTTTTTCTATGTCTAGAGTTATTTCAAAATGAAAAGTTAATAGGTATAGTGTCTGCCCTAAAGAATTTAATAGATCTGATAAAATAGTTATGAAGAGTTATAAAGAATAAATGTACTTGAGGGGTACCTGGGTAGCTCAGTCAGTTACATGTCCGACTTCAGCTCAGGTCATAATCTTGCAGTTCGTGGGTTTGAGCTCCACATTGGACTTTGTGCAGACTGCTTAGAGACTAGAGCCTGCCTCAGATTCTGTGTCTTCCTCTCTCTCTTCCCCTCCCCTTCTTGTGCTCTGTCTCTCTATATCTGTCTCTCTGTCTCTCTCAAAAATAAACATTAAAAATTTAAAAAAAGAATAAAAAAAGAATACTTGAACACCAATAGAATACTATATTTAATTAGACGTACTTTGGGTATTTACCCAAAGAAGACAAAAAATATATGCACCCTTATACTTACTGCATTATTATTTACAATAGCCAAGACACAAAAGTAACCCAAGTATACATCAATAGATAAATGGATAAAGAAGATGTGGTACACACACACACACACACAGGAATTTTACAAGGTCATAAAAAAGAATGAGATCTTGTCATTTATGACAACATGGATGGACCTAGAAGACATTATACTATGTGAAATGAGTCAGATAGAGACAAATATCATATGATTTCACTTATATGTGGCATCTAAAAAACAAAACAAACAAATGAAAAGCAAAAACAGATCCATAAATACAGAGAACAAACTGATGGTGGCCAGAGGGGAGGGGAGTGGGGGTATGGACAAAATGGGTGAAGGGGAGTGGGAGATAAAGTCTTCCCAGTTATGGAATGAGTAAGTCACCAGGATGAGAGGTACAGCACAGGGACTATAGTAAATAGTACTGTAATAGCATTGTATAGTGACAAATGGTAGCTACACTTGTGATAACCACAGCATAATATATAAAATTATTGACTCACTGTGTTGTACACCTGAAACTAATGTAACATTATATGTCAACTATACTTCAATTTAAAAAAAGAGTACTGTGGTTTTACCATGTAATGTGATTTTATTATATCCTGAAATTTAAAATGTCATAAAATTATGCTGCTGGACTTCATACAGGCTGGAATTAATCTGGAAAACTGTTTGACATTGTTACAAACATGAAGGCAGAAAGGTATGTCTTAATCCATTACAAGAGAAATCATAAAACTTAAGAGGAGACAGTATATTTAATGATTTCAAAGACTCTTCTTCAAATTATACTCATAGAACAGAAATTTAAAAAAAAATAATAACCTGCAAACCTATGTCTCAATAAATTAACTTCTTTAGAATTTCTACATAGATCAAAACCAAAAGATGGTTCCTAAGCATCAACTGAGAAAGAAACATTCCAGTATGGATGGATGGATGTTCATCTGTAGAGAGCAGAACATTCATTCTTGGTGTTTATCTTGTTAAGTTTCTGAACAGAAAGAAATTCTTATTTGAGCAGCTAAATTTCTTTATCTAGTAATAAGCATATAGACTCATGAGTAGATGAAAAATTATCTTCAGAGGTGATGTTTACTTTGCTTTTCCATCAATAGTGGTCAAACTCTGAGGGTGATTCTGAATTTATTACCCATTAGAAAGCCTTTGGAGGGGAGAGGTCTGACAGCACACTTCCCTGTGGTGACCTGGTGAAGTTTTCACCCACCCTCCCCCTAGCAAAGGAACCCTGACTATATAGTTAGGTATTAGCAAAATTTACAATTAGGATGAACTGTGTCAAGCACCTCGGCTACCTTCTTTTTCACAACCTACTTTTCCACTTCTTTGTAATAGAAAACTGCCACAGGGCATATTCTTTACTCTTCCTGAGTAAAATCAATAGACTTATTAGGCACTCAGAAATGGTTGTCATATTCTCAGTACATAAGCAATGCTCTCTTGGTAGCTAAAACAAACCTTCAAGTCTTAACAGCAAGTGACTGTGCCTTTCCACCCCTGACATGAAGTTTTAAAAATTATACTCTGGGTCCAACACCAAAGGAGATAAAAATTTTCAGGTATGTACATATAATAGATTTCAAAAAAGAATCAAGAACTGAAATTGCAAATATAAATATTTTGATGATTCTTTATATTTACTGCAGCTCAGAAACCTTAACTGAACATATGGGTTTCCAACGTTAGTCATTATTTTAATGAAGAACTTGGCCCTTCATTGGACCTGATTTGAAAACCAGTGAAAGTATGCAAGGTTATCCAAGGACATTAACCATGGTGTTTTTCACTTGAAATAGAAAAATAATACCAGTGCTGCACAGGCGACAGAAGCCCCATGATCTGCATTTGCAAATCCACTGAGTACTAACACTACTCAGAAAATATCTGCATTTTAGAAAGGAAGAGTAAGGAAGAAAACACTCCTACTTTACATAATTCCTAGTTGTCCATAACTGGAATGGGACAAGACACCAACTGACATCTATCATTTGGTTAACTGTCAAAGTGGATTTATCAGACCTGTCTGGCTCTGCCAAGATGGAGCTTCCTCCTCCATCACTATTCCAAGTATATCCCAACAAGGCTGGGCCCAAGAGAAGACAAACAATCTTTTTCAAGGCCATTGAAGCCATATCCTTGGCAGAAATCACAAAACTAGCTTCGATGTCTATGTAAAGGCAAACCTAGGGTAGTCAAGTCTATGTCAACTAAATTAGGGACTCCAATGTTCCTCACAGAGCAAAGGTTTGCAGTACAGATGTCCACTTCACAGTCCCCAGCTGTTAAAGCATCAATTTCTGCAACATCCACAGTTCAGAATGTTCTGATTAATTGGGTCCATCATTAATTGGGTCCAAAAACATTCTTATTACCACTAAGATGGTGTCTTCACAAAATACCGCCAACGAATCCTCAAATGCATGGGAAAGAAAATGAGATGAGGAGGAGGAAGAGGAAGATGATGACGATGATGACAATGATGACTATGATAATTTGTAATCTGGCCTTGATACTTGTAACAAATTTATACTTGGTCTCAAACCCATTGTACTGAGATTAAACATGCATGTTGGGTGTTTTTAAGTTGTGTTATAGAAAACGTAAATGGTATGTAAGGACTAAATATACTTATCCTTTCTGATTGAGATGTTGCATTTTCTTTAACAGGATTAGCAATGGTTTTTTTCATCAGCCTTTAAGTGTAAGAAATAAAATATTCATTCATAAAAAAATCTAATGTATGCAAATTTGAAGAAAAAATAAAATATTTTAATTTCATCCTTAAATAACCATAATTACTTACTAATGAGATGTGTGCATCCACTGGGCACTACACAAATTCTCAAACCTAGAATCAGATTGGACCCTGTCACCCTCATTTCCTGATCCACATTGATTTTCATATGGCACCTGCTTTTTATTAGAGCAACCACGGACAACTCAGCTTTGAAAAATACTGCATTTAAAAAAGATGTAGCACAATCTGATATTGGAACTGTGAACTAAATTCTCTGGAGCCAATACTCATGCAGTGTCAACAGAGGCCAAGTATCACTGTGTCCCCCTCAAACATATATGTGAAATGTCCCTTGGTCCTCTGTGGGCTTGCAGGCACCCCAGGCACACATTTGGTAACCACGGGTCTGGGGAAGACCTTGCCTAAGTATTTCTGATATACTCACTTTGAGATTTTAACGTAGGGAGGGGTTGAGGACCACAGCACTCGGGTGAGGGCCAGGAGCCGAATGGCCAGGCTGCAGGTCACACGCAGCTCCCGCTCTCCCCGCCGGGGCACCTGGGCACTCCTGTGTTCCTGCACTAGCTCACACTGCCACCAGCAGTGACAGAGAGTTCCTACTTCTCCACATCCTTACTGTTTACTTTTAGACTTTAAAGTTTTTGCCAACTTGGGAAGCATAAAATAGTATCACCTGGTGGTTTAGCTTGCATTTCCATGATTACTAATGAAGTTATACATTTTTATATTTTTATTCACCACTCACCTTCCATTTTTGTATAGTTTCTACTCAAGGCTTTTTTTTTTTTTAATTTTTCAACAGAGTGCTTCCCCCTGCTTATTAATTTTTTAGTTATTTGCATGGCAAATATCTTCCCCCAGTATTTATGGTTTGTCTTTTCACACATTCTACAGTGACTTTTGAAAACATAAGGTTCCATTTTCTAAAGGACAGGTTCTAGTTTCCTTACTATTTGTTAGTAGTAAGTATGACAAATATTTTCTTCTGGTTTGCTGCTCTCTGTACCCCACAATCTTTTAGGGTGATGTCTTTTAAGTAACATCCTTGGATTTAAGATAGTCCAATGACTAATCCCTTGCTCTCTGGCCAACAGTTTTTGTATCTCATTTAACATCCTTCCTTCCCTCAAGGTCATAAAGCTGTTCTATATCTTCTTCCAAAAGTTTAAAAGTTTTGCCTTTCATTTAAGTCCCTAATCCACCTGAAATGGATTTTTGTGTATTGAGTAAAGTACAGATCTATTTTAATTATCTTATATATAAATAATCAATTTCCCTAGCACTATGTAATGACCTATCCCTCCTTTCCTCCTGATACCTAGTGCCAAGTCAGTCATAAATCATATTGACAGAAGTGTGCCTGTTTCTAGGCTATTCCATAATTCTCGACAGATGTTCTTAAGGTACTGAAGTGAGGGGCAGTTCCCCTGAGAAAGAAGGGGTACCCTGTATCATCTAAACCTTATTCACTATTATTTAAGCTTTGACCTATTAGCATCAAACAGATTGTGATTACGGATGGCAATCTATTAAATGAAAATATCATACTTTGTAGGAAAGGAGTAAAACCACATTAATTTCGAGATGTAGCCAGTGAATATATAAAACCTAGGTTTTTCTTTCCTCTATGTAATATATGTAATTATTAAGGAAAATATAGATAATCCCAAAAACTAGAAAAAGAAAAAAGGTTACACCTTTTCTCTCTCACTCTCACAATTTAGGGAAGTTTAAGACATCCAAATCCTTGCCCACCATTCCCTACTGGGCCCCTTGAGATCTTTAACATGTGTTTTATTCACCAGAGTGTGGGCCTCAAGCTAGGATCTGGTCTTCTACCCTGGTGAACTTGGCTCAACCAAAAGGACTCCACTTTGGCCAGGCTGGTGGCCACCTATGCTTCCCCCCCCTTACCTTTCCCTGCGTTCTAAGTATTTTTTGTTGTTGGCAGGATGATTTATGTCATAAGGAATCTTGGGATCAAAAGTGTTAGACAACCACTGTCCCTAAGTTGATGTATATGGTCCATCCTATTTCTGAAGGTTCAGTTCAGCCTCATTTGGCTGGGTTAGAAGCTAGTCTCATTACTATAGCTTATCCAGTCACAAGCAAATTACAGAGACTTTAAGATCCAGCATAAGGAGGGGCGCCTGGGCGGCTTAGTCGGTTAAGCGTCCAACTTTGGCTCAGGTCAGATCTCCTGGTTCATGGGTTTGAGCCCTGCATCAGGCTCTGTGGTGACAGCTCAGAGCCTGGAGCCTGTTTCAGATTCTGTGTCACCCTCTCTCTCTCTGCCCCTCCCCCACCCACGCTCTGTCTCTCTGTGTCTCAAAAATAAACTATAAAAAAATTTTTTTAAAAAAATCCAGCATGAGGAAAAATATATGTGCTCAGCAAGCAATCTCTTTTAAGACTGCTTGCTTAGCAGAATATGTCTGTCCAGGAGCAAAACTCAAATGCACACATTTTATGAGTATTACAACCAGAGAGAAACTCTTCAACTTTGTAATAGGTTCTGTTTTTTTAACATAACATGTCTAAAATACAGGTAAAAAATTTTTTCTGGATCTTATCCGCTGAGGGGTCTTTGTCTATTAAGGTGTAGGTAAAAAGGAACCCCTGAGTGGCTCCGTTGGCATGATCTCACAGGTTGTGAGTTTGAGCCCCACAATGGGCTCTGTGCTGACAGCTCAGAGCCTGGGGCCTGCTTCAGATTCTGTGTGTGTGTCTCTCTCTCTGACCCTCCCCTGCTAGCACTCTGTCTGTCTCTCTCTCTCAAAAATAAATAAACATTGAAAAGAAAAGAAAAGGAAAAAAAGAAAAGAAAAGCCTTGCTTCATTCAGGAAAAAGATTATCTCACACTCTATCTCAGAGAAAAAAATACTGAAGGCTTTTTGGAAACCGAAAGAAGAAAGTAATGAGGGAATATTCCTGATCTTGCTACTATTAGGAAAAAAAACAAAAAAAAACAAAAAACCAGTATTGACGTGGAGTTATCGAAGTGGCCTAGATTTTCTTAAAACCCAGTTGTGACTAAGATATGAGACTAGATTGAGTGACTTTTATTACTAATCAAGAAAAGAAAAAAGCTTCTTGGATATATTGTTTCCTTTCCTCTGTACGTGGGCCCTTACGTTCTTACTGGTAACAAAATGATGAGCCAAATGTTTTGAATGTGTCTTCTTGCCTTCATGTAAAGTAACTTGTTCCTTTATTTGAGTTTTTAAAAACACCTCAGCCTAAAACACTACTTAAAATAAACAGGGTTATTATTCACTATTTTGCATAGAAGGTTCAGCAATCTGCCAAAGTCACCACCTGGTCAATGGCACAGCCGGGATTCAAAGCCCAGTGGCCTGACCCCAGGGCCTGAGCATCTAGTATTCTGTACTATGCAAAGTAGAACTGCAGCAAGAAATCAGAAAATGAAAAACCTGATAAAAGCATTACTAAGATCATAGGAGACTGTTGTTCTGAATTTATAGGAGGTTAGGAAATACAAAAGTAATTTAGGCAAAGATTAGGCTAAAACAAAGTGAAACTAGGGTGCCCGTATGGCTCAGTCAGTTGAGCATCGATTCTTGGTCTCAGTCAGGTCTTGATCTCAGGATTGTGAGTTCAATCCCCAGTTGAGCTCCACACAAGGCATGAAGCCTACTTAAAAAATTTAAAGTAGGGGGTGCCTGGGTGGTACAGTAGGTTAAATGTCTGATTTCAGCTCAGGTCATGATCTCGCAGTCCTTGAGTTATGAGCCCTGCATCGGGCTCAGTGCTGACAGCTTGGAGCCTGGAGCCGGCTTCAGATTCTGTCTCCCTCTCTCTCTCTGCCCCTCCCCCACTCACATACCTCTTTCTCTCTTCACCACATTCACTCTCTTTCTCTCAAAAATAAATAAACATAAAAAAAAATTTAGGGGTGCCAGGGTGACTTAGTCAGTTAGGCATCTGACTTTGGCTTAGGTCATGATCACCTGGTTGATGAGTTCAAACCCCGCGTTGGGCTCCGTGCTGACAGCTAAGGGCCTGGAGCCTGCTTCAGAGTCTGTGTCTCCCACTCGTGCTCAGTCTCTCTCTCCCAAAAATAAACATTAAAAAATTTTTAATTTTTAATAAAAAATAAATAAAAATAAAAATAAACCAAAATGAAACTGTCATCCAGCTACCTCCACCCTAGTTTGCTGGTATGGAAGGGACTGTGAGTTACCTAAACAGTATTCACCCACTCTTCTTCATAAGAAATGTTGATGTTATTTGGGGTAAACCGCTCCCACTTAAAGACTACTTTTCCTACCTTTCTTCGCCTTCTAGAGGAATTCAAGGAAATGTAAACAGAGGTTAAGTAGATGGAAGCCAGGAAGCTCTTTCAAAGGGGG